AGATAGATAGATAGATAGATAGATAGATAGATAGATAGATAGATAGAATAGAGATAGATGAGATAAATGAAAGAGATATAGATAGATGAGAGAGATAGATGATAGCTGAGAAATGATGAGAGAGAGATGAGATGATAGCATGAAAAAAAGAAGAAAGAAAAAGGATCTGCAATAGCAAATGATAGGTAGGTAGGTAGGTGGATGGATGGATGGATGGATGGATGGATGAGAAAGAGCATCTTTAGAAACTCATTTGGTTTTGTACACACACAGAAGCGCTGGCTTGGGGGAACATGGTGCGTGGGGAAGCCTCTTTTAAACGCTCTCAGTACGCGAGTTACACGCCGTTCTTTTCCATTCTGTGTGCATTTACATGGGGTCCAGCACCGACAAAGTCTGCAGGGTTGTAGTGTAGAAAGTCCCTGGAAATTCGAAGGGACTTGGCCTTTCCCATTAATTTACCGGCGGGATTGACCGCCTGGCACCGAGGGTTACAACAATTTCGCGTCTGCACCGGCGGCACACGCAGCCTTTCGGCGTGAACAACAACAACAACAACAACAACTATTATTATTATTATTATTATTATTATTATTATTATTATTATTATTATTATTATTATTATTATTATTATTATTATTATTATGAAATCGCAGCTGCCAGTTCTTTCCTTAGCTGGTGTTGGCCTTCTTACGGCTATATCCCAAGAGCCTTGGACACGTCGTAATGTATGAGCGGATAAGGATTATCCGCCACAAGTCCTAAAACCTCATTCAGAGACAAAAGAACTTGGTATCTTGGGACCAAGACAGATTCCAGCCGCTGGGCTGGAGCTCCCCCAGCACCTGCGGGACAAGCCGGAGGGGGGGCGGGGGAGAGGGCGGATGGAGGATAGACGCGAGAAACTGCGCCCCCTGCAGGTCTGGCTGAAGTCTTACCTGCCTCTCGGGCAAGAAGAAGGCAGCGCCGCGCTGGGAAAGATGGCAGGCGAGCGCTGGCCAGCGCTTGGCCAAGGGGGCAAGCGGTTGGTGGCCGTTCCTTGACGCCCCACGGCCCGCTCGGAGAGGCCATTCAGCCTGGCGGCTAGGAAGGGCCGGGGGTAGGTGGGGCGGGGGCAGGAAGAGGGCGGGAAGAACGGGTTTTCCTCCGATGAATGGCGGGAGGAGAAAGAGCAGGCTAAATCCAGTCCGCGATGCCTATAAATGGCGTTGTTCTCTCTTTTCCAAGGTGCACATTTTTAAAAAAAAATAAAAGGGAAAAAAGAAATCACTCAGTGTCATCCCCCACGTCAGGGTTGGCTGTGGGCGTGAGGCTATACTTCCTCCGCCCTCTCCTAATGGAGTGAACCATTCCCTGCTCTTCCTTCCCTCTCTCTCCCTCTCTTTCTGTTTCTACCGCCCCCCCCCCTTCTCTCTCTCTCTTGCTTCCTCTTCAGCCTTCCCTCCAGTTTGGTGTGTGCAAGAAAAGTCTAAGGGCTGCTCGGAACTTGTTGGCAATGCCTGGCGAACAGAAACCCCCCATATTTTCCCCAGTCCCACTTTAAGAAAAGAGAAGAAAAGGGAAGAGAAAAAAAAGGAAAGAAAGAAAAGAAAGAAAGAAAGAAAGAAAGAAAGAAAGAAAGAAAGAAAGAAAGACGATCTGCAGTCGCAAATGATTGTACTAAATATAGGATGGGACTTAAGTTGAGCGGCAGATACATTTCTCTGGTCCTTGCTATGCAGCTAGGTAAGTGGATTCATACTTTCATGATGAACAGCTGGTATTTTTTTTGAGGTATCTTTCTTCTTCTTCTTCTTCTTCTTCTTCTTCTTCTTCTTCTTCTTCTTCTTCTTCTTCTTCTTCTTCTTCTTCTTCTTCTTC